TATATGCAATGCATCTTGATCATACCATCCCAGATCTCTCCCTCTAGACGTCCCTAAATATTAGCCTTCTACTTTTGTGTCCTTTTTTTTTTTTGGTTTTCGAGACAGGATTTCTCTGTGTAGCTTTGCGCCTTTCATGGAACTCACTTTGTAGATCAGGCTGGCCTCGAACTCAGATCTGCCTGCTTCTGCCTCCCGAGTGCTGGGATTAAAGGCGTGTGCCACCACCGCCCGGCTTTTTGTGTCCTTTCTAAAAAGAAATAGCTCACTGTTCCCAGTTAGTTCTACCTGCATGGGCATGGATATGGTGTCATCTGTGGGAGCGTGGGTAACCTAGTAGTGGCCACACTCCCAAGAAATGACTTTTCTTCCTGCAGCAGCCCTCAGTTATCAATAGCTCCTCAGTTGGGGGTGGAGCTTCATGAGTCCCTATCATCCATGGTGAAATGTTGACTGGCTTAATCTTACAGGTCTTGTAGAGGTAACTATAGGGGCTGTGAGTTCATGAGTTTAACAGCCATGTCATATCTTGAAGACTTCACAGTATTCCTCCCAATACTTCAACTCTTACGTTCTTCTTACCCTTTTACCACAATTTCTGTGAGCCTCTGCGGGATTGATATCAATGTCTCATTGAGGGCTAAGTGCTCAGCATTCAGCTATTCACAACACTTTGACCAGTTATGAATTACCCACTGTAGAAAGAAGCTTCTATGACCAAGACTGAAAACAGCATTAATCTATGGGTATAAACATAGATATTTAGAAGGCAGTTTTACATTTACATTTAGAAAAAAACCAGCTGGTGGTGGCGGTGGCGGTGGCGCACGCCGGTAGGATTTGCTGAAGGAGGCGGAGGCAGGAGGATCACAAGTTCGAGGCCAGCCTGGGCTACACATTTTAGCCGGGCGGTGGTGGCGCACGCCTTTAATCCCAGCACTCAGGAGGCAGAGCCAGGTGGATCTCTGTGAGTTCGAGGCCAGCCTGGGCTACCAAGTGAGCTCCAGGAAAGGCGCAAAGCTACACAGAGAAACCCTGTCTCAAACCAACAGTAATAGGGTCCCCCAGAGGTCTTTTTTTTTCTCCTCTCCAGATCTAGAGTGCTAGCCATGCATTCCTTCCTATGGAGCAGGCCTCAGATTAAATCAGAAACCTGTTGGTTACCACCACAGAGTTGTGCTACTATTGTACCAGAAGGCATAGCCTACCTTTCAGGTCAGTATTGTGCGATGCACCATCCACCACTCAGTAAGTCAGTTGGTAACTTTTCTCTCTTGCATAGCACCCTCCAGCACTATCAAAGCTAGTCATCATTGAGGTCAGTCTTAGTTTAATTTCTTTGTCCTGTAACCAAAATGTGGTGTGTCTTCAGCAATAGGACCTCACTGTCTAGTTGTGGTGGACAACAAAGAGCAATGGCAGTAGCCTATGTTGTCTCGTGTGTGTGTGTGTGTGGGGGGGGTCGTCCTCTGGGGCGTCCCTGACCATTGACTCATAGGGAGGTATTTTATACTTGACACTGAAATTTTCCTTTAGTAACCCATGCTTTTTGACAGAAGCGTGGTCCACTCAGGCAGGGTACCTCCATTCATACTCCTTTTTGGAAAAAATAACATTTTTTCGTTAGCTTACATAGCAATGAGTTTCCATAAGACTTTGGGGTATGTGTGTCACTGTATACCAGAATGGCTTTGAACTCATAGAGAGGCCTGCCTCTTGAGTTCTGGGACTAAAGGTATCTGTCACCACACCTTCAGTTTTGGATAGCTCATCACTCCTTCATCCGTCTTCATCCCCTTCTTTATCTCTTCTTTAACCCTGGTATTCCTGCACTTGGTTTTCATAGTATCTGTGTTCTGCTATTTCCCTTATTGCTTTTCTATTCAAATTGGAAGAAGTTTGTGTGTGTGTGTGTGTGTGTGTGTGTGTGTGTGTGTGTGTGTGTGTGTGTTATTGTTTGTTTTGAGTCCTATAACCCAGTCTGGCCTTGCACTAATCATCCTGCCTCTACCTCTCAAGTATGGGATGTGCACTACTGTGTTTGGTTTTCCTTGTTTGTTCTGAGATAGTATCTTGCTATGTAGCTCTGGTTGAGCTAGAACTTGAAGCAGTCCTGCCTTTGCCTCTTGAGTGCTGGGATTACAGTCATGTGCTGACATACTGGTCAAGGAGGGCTTTTTGATTTTGGAATGTGAGTGAGTGTGTGTGTGTGTGTGTGTGTTAGATTAATCCTGTGCTTTGGTTACGTAATCCTGGAAAAATCTTGTAGAAATGGCATTAAATGACAAATGACAGCACATTTGCAAGAGAGCGGACTCCTGTGGTCATGTACTGTGTATATCCAGGGAGAACTTCGAGAATTACATCCCTTACCTTCTCTCTCTCTCTCTCTCTCTCTCTCTCTCTGGCATTTCTGAACAGTGTTGTCATCTTGTATGATGTGTCACATTAGTAAGAAGGCAAGGGATAGATTGCTGTGATTAAAGACTTAAAAAAATGCCTTCAAGTGTCTGGCCCTAATCCATCTCCCTCTTTGCTCCTACTGTCCTGCTGTCCCGGGTCATACTTTTGACACTGCAGGTGTTTGGTGCTTCCTTCCTATTCACTCTGTGAGAATACAAGTACCGCTTGAACATAATTCCTGTCACCTTTCCTGTGGGCATTTCCCAGCTCTTCTTTCTCTCTAGCCCCAGTTGGCCAGCTGGTTCTTTATCCCCTTCCTTGTGTCCCTCTTTCTAGTGGAAGAGACTATATAATGTTTTTGATGTGACTGTGTTTGACAAATTACAAGTTCCTCAAAAATAGGGATAGGATGGTACTTTGCACTTTGACACAGTCACAGGTGGCATAGGTTGGGTTGGGTTGCAGGGACGCAGTAAATAAAGGGGAGCAGAAACAAGGTTAGAAAGAATATGCTCTACTCTCTTCTGGTAACATTGTAATAACTGGACCTCTCAGCCTCTGTCACTCCAAGGTTAGTCATCGTGGAGGCTTTGAGGAGAATGCTACCTAATTTGGAAGACAAAAAGATTAAAAAGTGATATTTGAATTTGTAGAGCTGAGTGTAGCTTGTTCATCTGTGTAGAAACATTGGGTATCTTTTTTGAGTTTCTGCCTTGAAGGTATTCCTCTGTGCTGCCAGTTCTTTTTTGTTTGTTTTGAGACAGGGTCTCACTGTGTATCACTCGCTGGCCCAGAACTCACTCTGTAGACCAGGCTGTCCTCAGACTCACAGAAGTCTGCCTTCCTCTGCCTCCCTAGTGCTGGGGTTTAAGTTGTGTGCTACAGTGCCTGGCCCTGTTAGGTATCTTAGATATTTTAATCCTGATCGTTTCTCCTAACTCTCTCTATATTAGTTATAGGGGAGAAACTGGGAAGCCTAATGATCTTTTTCTAGAATGCCTTCTTTGACATGCACATGTCAAAGTTTCTGTTGCTTTTGGAAAAGAAAGTTCCCTGTGCTTATTAATTTTTATCAAATCTCAAGTAATAGTTCCTCCTTCTATAATGTGACAAGGTGGATACCCAGGTGATCGCTCTGGGTTTAGAAAGTCACACTCTAGGCCCTTATGGAACAGTCATTTAATGCCTAGCTTCAGCATGGACTTGACCTCATTTAGCACTTCATTACTGCTCTAAAATTCTAAGTTATCTTTTATTTCTAGAATTATATCTACCCTTGGGCATGTGGTTAATAGTAGTAGTTTCAAAATAAAGCAAAAGGGGAGGGGCTTAAATTGCACATAAATTGAGTAGTACTACTACTCCAAAAAGCTTTTTTTTTCCCTTCTTTTCTTTTGGTCTTTTGAGATAAGAGTTTTTCTGTGTAGCCCTGGATGTCCTGGGACTTGTTCTGTAGACCAGGCTGGCCTCTAATAAAGAGATCCACCTGTCTCCCCCTCCTCCCCCCCAAGCTGGGATTAAAGATGTGCACCGCTACTACCCAGCAAAACAAAACAAAACAAAACAAAACAAAAAAACACCTTTCTTAAACCCCAGCCAGTATAGTTTATTTTCCTCATCCCATTTTTGTTGGTTAAGGAAAAAGTAGCTGGCCTGTTTCAAGAAGCAGCTGCTAACTTCCTCCTCACCCTTAGGGTCCTCACAGAGGAAAGAGCTGGCAGGAGGGCAGGCGGGCAGGCACTCTGGAGGCAGGGGCAAGGAGAGCTCTGTGAGTTGGAGACCAGCCAGTAATGAGATCCTGTCTGGACAAACACAGAACACTGGCAGGATAGGGAAAAGCCTTGGAGGCAGCGATTTCATTTTACTCCACATGTTGCAGGTTAGTAAACTTGGTTACAAAAAAGGAAGGAAGCTGGGCAGTGGTGGTGCCCAGAACTTGGGAGGCAGAGGCAGGTGGATCTCTGTGATTTGTTTTTTTTTTCTTTCTTTTCTTTTTTTTTTTTTTTTTTTT